TATAGTTTTTTTATAGTCCTTTTCATCCACTAACTTCCTTTCTTTCGCATGAGAGGATTTTTTTCATTTTTTGCACAAGGATTTCACCCTTGCTTTTCAACGCTAACCTCTCATCTCTCCTTCGGGCTGCTTTCTTTTGGAGAGAAGCGAGTAGGAGGGCACTGTAAAATAAATAATTGCTGGAGTGTCGGTGTTGAGCTGCTTTTGCTGTTTATTATTACGTTCTTATGTCATCAAATGAATACTTACCAACCCACTGAAGGTATTTGAAGAGGCAATCTAAGGTGTGTTTTAGTTTCAGAAGCGTCCTACTCTAAGGCAAGCGGTGCTTTACGAGGACTACAACAACTAGACTTGTTAGACTCTACGTTTAATTTTTAAAGACCCGTTTTCATTTTTATATCTCTTTTTTGGCGCCATTTTATCTTTGACGATTCTTGGCACACCTAAACACTTCTCCTTCATTTCGAAGTAGTTGATAATAATCTGTAATTTCCAACCTTACTCAGTTTACTAGAATCAGGTTTCCAGAAGTACGCGCAGTAATGTTTAACCTTTTTTTTTCTTACCTGCACGGCTCTCAGTGCATTTTCACACAGACTCGTACTTTTTGCTTTCTACTACAGGCAGTATCGTACTCAGTTTGTACAGTTCCAACCAGGAGTATGCGAGGCCGGTGAAGACAAATCAAAATCCGTATTGAAGTCATAGATGGATGATTAAAGGTGTTGTTGACATCAAATATATGACAATGCTTTCCTGAAATCCTTTTTAAATACTTTATGTTGCTACATCTCCCAGTAAACCGGAATATACTTAAGAAACAGCGGATTTTTAGAAGACAATTTTCCGTAAGGTTGAATTGAATTTTTTAAACTTTTTATACTGCTACCGCAAAATGAAGCGGCGAGCGCATGTCTGTTACATTACGACTCATAATGTGCAGTTTTATGAAACCGCATAAGGTGTCGATCGCAAATTATAACAAAACCTTCAAAAAGTGAAAAGGAAACAGAGAGCTGTATCTGGAGCTGCTATGGATGATTAGAACAGAACCAAGAAAAGAAACTTCAAAAAATGCAAAAAATTGAATAAGTAAATAAATAAAGTTAAGTTGCAGACAAAAAAATCAAGTCCCAGAAGGAGCACGCCTGATGCGGTGCCAGGAATTGCGCAGTAGTAGAGAAAATCGTGCGTAAGAGGTCTAGAAGTACACAAGAAGTGACTTTATAACCTACTGAAAAAATAGATGAGTTATGCTCAAGCAAAAAACCAGCCCATTAACGACGGCTTCCTCTGTTATAAATCCTAAGTGGTTTTGAAAAATACAGCGGTTTATCTTTTTTATTGGCACAACAAGCGGAAGAGCACTCACAAAAAAATTTCAACTTTAATCAATTTTTTTTCAATAAATCTAACTTTAATTTTAGTTCTACAAAAGGATATTTTCTTTTTGCTTTTAGCAAACTGCAACAAAGGGGTAAAAAGATGATCAGAAACTAAAGCATATTCATCTTTGTGGTTGCTTAATATCTTATCAGTTTTCTTCTCTTCAGAAATAGTGTACAGTAGGGGAAAGTAGCGCGTTCTGCATATTTCGCAATTTTGACAAACACTGAAAAACTACCGTAAATAACGCAGGTCAACTGCAGCAAAAAGCGGAACATAGATTCTGGTAAAAAAACTTTCTCATATGGTCTAGTGACTATGCTAAGAAACAGTAAATTTACGGGAAATCGGTCGTGAGGTAAAAATTGCTGATTTCCCGGATATTTCCATCAATACCTTTTCGATTTTCTACAAAAATTTGACAGGGAAGCCATAAACGTAAGTTTACAGCAAATTCATGCAGAATGAAACACTGGTTACTAGAATTAAGCAAAAAAACTCTGCTGCAGCAGTCTCAGTTTGCTTCACTTGTCACTTAGGCTTAGCCGAAGCGAACAGAACGAAGAGCCTCACCGAGAAGGGACATTGTGCACAGTGAACCACAGTAGGCAAAGGTGATTTTTATGGAGAAGCAGAACTCATATATGATACCCCTTAATTCCCTTTGATATAATAGACAGCTTCTTGGTGAAGATTTTTCTTACCTTTAATTATCAAGTTTCTCGAAAAATACAGTAATGAAAGGTCAGGATCAGTTACTAAGCAATATAATTAAACTAAAAGTATGTTGCTGATTCTGATTTCATACTGCTCCTTTCATCTAATTTACTCCAAACTGCACTTAATGCATATGAATATAACAAAGATCATATAGAGCAACACTATTTTACTCGTCAGGCAGAACAGTGTTGTTTTATCTGATCTTCCCATACACGTTAAACACGCACCTTTCTCTCCAAAACTTAGTAGAATATAGTGACCATAACGAATGTGTTGCCCACTTGTCCTATCACAAATAAACCCTGAGGCGCTCGCTTTGGAAGACAGATATCCTACTATATTTTTAAAGGCAGCTCCGACCTACATAACTCAAAGTATTAGTCAGCGTCCCGCACGCAAATTCGTCTACTAGTCGTGACTCCAAAACCTTTTGAAAACCAAAGATTGGTTGCTAAAACATCTCTCAATGAGCAAAAAGAGATAAGAGTCTGCAGTTCTGTTATTCAAAGAGCAACGATTTATGCACAAAGCTAGATGGTTTTCTAAATCGTAGATTTATAACCTGGACGGATTTTGGAAACGCACACCTAATCATCAGCTTTCCTTGAAAACTCCTTACATACAGATCCACCCAAAGACCCGCGTGCGGTTCAACTCATGGCAAAATGCTAGGATAGCGACCTGCAGCTCCCGCTCTATGAGAGCGACGACATATCGACCCATTAAAAGAAGTTCATTACGAAGCTTGCAACATTGAAAATTGTTTCACCTCAGCAGCTCTGCTGTACAAACATCCACACTCAGCCCAAGACTGACGTTATCATAAAGGTTATCTCTTAGTGCGTCAGTCAGAAAAAAAACTTACAGATATCGCATCAGATATGCCATACTCTATTTATTAGGTTACACAGTTAATAATAACTGCAAGATAAATATAACTCACGACAATTTCAATCGTAAATGACTGGTCTGTTCTACACTGAAAAGCAGCACCCAGAAGATGCAGTATAAGACTCATCTCGCCAACGACACAGGATAGCGATCCACGAACGTTAGACTGGACCTCAATGAAATCTCGTCTACAAGACTCACAAAGTCCACAGATATCACCAACGACCACTTGTTGATCACTAATCCTTTTAAAAGCGAGCACAAAGCAAAGAACATTCTTCAAATTTACATCTCACGAAGTAGGACAGGATCGCGCAAAATTTTATTGAAGC